ATATATATGATGGTTATTCTTAAACAGTTATTTATGATATTAGTGATTGAATAGTCATTATGCAGCTAGTTTTTTATTCCCTTACCGTACCTTTCTCCTGACTAAGTTCAGTTAGGATATTTACTTTAAAGAGTGAAAATATGTGTGAACTTATTTTACATGATATATTTATATTTAACTGGTATTACATTGTAGAAAATTGACAATTTTGATATGAAGTTTTTTTTTATTTCCTTGCCATAAAGGTCTATATACAGTATATTGACCATGATTGATTTATGACAGGAAAGAAAGAGTAAACATCCAAAGGGCTAAATATATTTTGTAGTTTAACGGTTAACATTTTCAGTCATTTCAGAATATATTTTACGACATTTATTTAAATCAATTTAAGTTCCTGTTTGTGTACTGCCTACAACCATCTATAAATTACAACCTTTTGTTTTGTTAGTTTGTTGGAGACAACGCTGGCTGCTCATGAGCAATCCGTAACTTCTTTTCACTCTTTGCTGTATTCTGTATTTAAACAACTCAGGCGACCTTCTGGCACACCTTAACTGAAACATGAACCAGTCAGACTTTATAGCCAACAGCAAGAGAAGTTTAGATGAGGAGCAGAGATAACAGCATACATAATAAATGAGAGATTTACTCTCATGAGGAGGCACAAAGAGCTTAAGACTGCTAGCCAGAGACTAAGTAACCTGAATGAGAACGGTGAAATGTGAAAAAAGAAGAAAAAGAAAAAAAAATGTTAAAAAAAAAACTTGGATCTTCCAAGTGGTTTGATTCTGAAGATTTTGATTTGTGCTGCAAGATGACATGACTGCATAGATGCTGGCTGTCTAACTGCTGATCCAGCTCTGCTGTGGCAGAACTGATTTGTTCTGATTGGATCACCCTCAGCTCTTGTAACTAGCAGAGATTAAGAAGAAAGAAAAAAAAAACAGGCAACACATCAAATACTTCAAATGAGCTGGGTTTCCAGCCTCACATTTCCTTTCCAGGGAAACAGTTTTGACTGGTTCTCATGTCGCTGTGTGTTTATGTCTGCAGATATTGATGAGTGCGCAGAGGGCCTGATTGAGTGCCACAACCACTCTCGCTGTGTCAACCTGCCTGGCTGGTACCAYTGTGAATGCAGAAGTGGTTTCCATGACAATGGATCCTACCAGCTCGATGGAAGCTCCTGCATTGGTGAGCAAACAGAGTTGAAAACATAATTTTCTCTGCTGCAAATACTAGTTCCCTCTCCCAGTGTTCTGCCCATCATTCTCACAGTTAGTGACTTTTTCTCCCCATTTACCTGTCTGCAATCATYCTGGAATTTTTAATACTGTTGCTGCCTCTCACAACATATTAGGTGAGTTACTTTTTACAGAGTTATTTGGATGTTTTTTTTATTAGTTCAGCCTCCAAATTATAAATGTGTAAAGTTGGCTCAATATGTTTCTTCACGTTTTAATCTCATGCAGATGATTCCAGACTCCCTTTGACAGTATGTGCATGTGTGTAGTAAATAGTGCACCAGTGTCAAACAAAAACTCAATCAAAAGCAAAAAATAAATAAATAAAAACTAATTAAACAACATAAAAAAGACATGCAACATCATTTACAACTAGAAGCTAATTACAGTACTTTAATTTGACACTTACAAAATAGGTTTGATAAGGTAATCTACATCTAAATTAACTAAGTAAATAAAGTAAAATTTAATACATTGCCCAAAAACATCAATGCAATATTAATACAACCTGTGTGATTTATTTTTTAGTTTTTATTTTTGCAAAAGTTTAAAGTATTTAGACTCAACTGAGATTTATAAGTTTTTTTTACAATAGTCATTACATTGCATTGAAATAGTTTTCCCACCAGTGGCCATTTTAGCCCATTTTAGAACCCCTGAGCTTGAAGTCAGTACCCTCTGAAAAAAAAGAAACTATCATTACTATTTTGTAAGAATGTTTGGTTCTCAAACCTTAGATTCACCATATACTGAATAAACATGGAACTAGAAGCACTCGTTGGGGCGCACACCACCAGCAGTCACAAAGTAACAAGTATCTGGTGTGGTTAACRCTCAAAAATYRKAGTTTTCTCCAGTCTTGAACACATCACAGACGAGCTGTTGCTGTGATCTCGGCAGCTGCTCTGCTCGGTAACATTGAAGGGTCATGAAGTTAGCTGTATGGACTGTTTGTGAGGAGTTTAAAAATAAAAGCGATACAGAGTAGATGTTGGAGAGACAACTTAGAAGGAAACCACTTTTTATGGAGGAGTACTGTGCTTTTCATGTAGCTGATTGTTAGTTTAGCTGCAGCCATACTTAATACTTCATGTTTGTCCCTTAGTTGCACAACTGGTTAACATTACAGTATATTAGACCGATATTTTAAGTTACTAATAAACATGAATAATGATCATATTGCCTTAGCTGGGCTGGGTCATTGGTGAGGCAAGAACCACAAACTTCAAAGTACTTTAGTGGAACTTCATGTTATAGATCAACACAAAGTCGCACATAATTGTGAAGTAGTAGGAAAATGACACTTGGTTTTCAAATTCTATTTAGAAATAAAATTTGAAAAGTGTGGACTGTGTTTGTATTCATAGCTGCTGAGTCAATGCTTAGAACCACACTGGGTTTTGTCTCTATCAGCTCTTCCCATTTAGAGACTGAACTTGTTGTCCATTCTTTTTTTCAAAATAGCTGCAGTTCTATTAGATTGGATGGAGAGCACCTGTAAACAGCAGTTTTCAAGTCGTACCACAGACTCCCAGAACGGGTCCCTCAGACACATGAATATATATTTAATCTAAACTGCTTCACTGAAGCTCTGCCTGGATGTTGTGAGTTGTTGCTGTGCTGAAAAATGAACTTATTTGCAACCGCTTCGGATGTTATCATCCATTAAATGGATATTATTAGCCATTGTCAGTTCCACAGACTGGCTTCATCAGACTGTCAGCTGGTTAGTATGAAGCATATAGCCACTAAGTTTTGTTTTATGCAATCTGGTTAATATGAGGCATAAAGTCACTAAGGCTTATTTTAGAGTTATGAAATGGGCTACAATAAATTAGACCGGACTCTGGCGGTAGCAGATTGTTGCATTGCAACGTATTTGGCACTGGTAACCCACTAGGGGGCAGTGCTGGGACAGTCTGAAGCCATTCTATGGGACTGATAACGCTAACGTCCATTTAATGGACTGATAACATCTGAACCGGCTTCTTATTTGTCAGTCTAAAGTCTTTTACAGTACCAGAGTATCTTCCAGGACTGTTCTGTATTTAGCTCGGTCCGTCTTCCCATCAACTCTGATCAGCTCCCCTGTTTCTGCAGATTTTTTTATCWCTACATCATTGTACTTCCACTACTATATTTCACAGTGGGGATGTTGTGTTCAGGGTGATGTACAGTGTTAGTATTCTGCCATGTAAAGCACTTTGCATTTAGGTCAGAGAGATAAACATTTTAATCTCATCTGACCAGCGCATCTTCTCCAACATGTTTTTGTGTTCTTACCTGACTTGTGACAAACTACAAACTGGACTTCCTATGAGGGTTTTTGTTTTTTGTTTTGTTTTGTTTTGTTTCATTATTCCTTCCACTTCACCATTATGTGCTACATTATCTTGAATCCTTCACAAATACTTGGTAAAAGATTATGAATTTTGGGTTGTAACATGTTTATTGTTTATGAYTATTCAGACTATTCTCCCTGGGGTCCCAACACAAAACACAAACCCCCAATCCCTCCACCACATGTAGCCAAAATAGTCAAAATTTTACCATCATTATTATTATGACTAAATTAAAAAAAAAGTTTGGTAGAAAATAAAGTCCTTAAATCTGTAATTCAGTGCTTTGATCATTTTCAAGTCTTTCGTGTTGTTGCTGGTACTTCTCTTTTTTGATTTTATGAAGGACACTTAAAAACAAAAAACACATTGTGTGTTCTGTGCTAAAATTTGCTTTTCTGTCTTTCTGAATGAAACTGAACAAAACAAGATAAACCACTTTAATGTAAGTATTTCACAATTCAGCGTGTAAATTGTTTTGGTTGAGAAAATGTGGCTAAAGAACAGAGTCAAACACACAAAACAGGCTTTTTGATTAAAACAATGTTGTACTCTGCAGTCTTAAACTCACAAAAAGCATTGTGTGTTTACAAGAAACAAATTTCTGGTCAAATGGTGTTCTCATATTGCAATAAAAACAAATAATTTACTGGTTTTAGATGTTTATGGATGGATGTGGAACAAATAGGTGTTCACTAACAAGCACTCTGCTTTAGATTAATAAAATCATTTAAATAGCAAATGTTTAAGTTCAAGTTTAAAGTTTAACGTGGCTTTATTAGTCTCACTTGGGAGAAATTAGCTTACACAAAAAGACCTGTCGGACAGAAAACACATTCCAAATAAAACTCAAATAAAAAACACCAAAAAGACAACACATCCTACTGCACTCGCACACAAATACCTACATAAAATCCCTGTCTCTATTCATCCCAAATCACTCACTCATTCAAGACCTTCACTGAAAAAGGGATGAATGAGTTCTTGTAGCCGTTATATTTGAATAAAGGAACCCTTCTTTCTGAGTTCAGTAAATCATATTGAGCAGGGATGTTTGCTCAATGCTGGTCTTGGAAAGTTAGAGGAACAGCAGTCCCCATGATTTTATCTATTGTCCTCAGCAGATTTAATATCTGAACATTTGAYTTTATGGTCAGGGCACTAAACCAGTAGCTATTAGCATATTTCAACATTGACTCAWTGCTTGCTCAGTAAAAAAAAAAAATCAATCCATCCATTATCATCCACTTGTTTCACAGTTGGGTTGCAAGGGCAGTAGTTTAAGTGGGGGGGCCCAGACCACTCTTTGCCCAGTCACCTCTTCCAGCTCTTCTGGGAAGATTCCAAGGCGTTCCCGGGCAAGATGAGTGGGCGTGTTTGTTTATGCTAAAAAGCACTCAGGCACTGCATTTTGCTTCAACTACTCACTTCCAGAATCTGACTGTTGTACAGCAGACATTTATAAAGATAGTCAAATGGCCAAAAACTCATGGATGGAGCAAGCACAGATGTGCATGGAGGAATCAATTAACGGGGGCAGACTTGTGGCCAAAATAACGATGGATATCAGAGGTTTTTTTTCTTCTTGTCTTATTTTCCAAAGTATAAATTCCAGCAGGAAGAACCACATATGTATATCTCTGGGCTTTGTCAGGAGCTCAGTGAAGTGTGTCTTACGGACAATGAATGATGTGTGTGACAACGAACGCTGCACAACCATGTGACAGTGCATCGACTGTTCGGCTTTAGATCAAGTAAACTGGGTCCTTAAGGGAGAGTCCTGCTACCCTACAGAGAAAACTAATTTTGACRGCCTGTGTCTGTGATTTTTTATTCTTTCTGTCACAACCCAAAGTTCATSACCATCGGTGAGGGTAGGAACGTAGACCAATTGATAAAAAGKCTTACAACTTAGCTCCCTCTTTACCACAGCAGACCAATAAGCAGAACTGTAAAAGAAGTCAACAAATTCTTTCAGACTCCAAACACTTTAAATCAATGCCACTCAAACACTTGTTAATTGTGGGAGAATTGGACAAGTCAATATCAATATGCTTTTCCAATATTTGCATGACTTGACCTGCTTGRTGTTGTGTCCATATATGGCCACATGGCTGTGATCGCTAGCTGACATGTGGTCCACCAGCAACTTCTTTGTTTTGCCAGTATTAATCTTCAACTGATGGGCATCACACCATTTCACAAAGTCATCAACCCCAGATCTATGGCTGCCTTTGTTGGAGATCATTTCTAGCAGACAAAGTAGAACAGTGCCATTTGAAAAATTTTACCACATACTGGCACAGCTGGGAGCTGACACAGTCATTAGACTACAAGATGAATAAAAACTGTGAGATTACACAGCCCTGAGGGGTTCCAGTATTACCTAATACAGTACTTAAGTACACAGAGTTGAATTTCACCTGCTGTGGCATGTTTGACAAGACCAAGTGCTACCATTAGATAAGACATAGACTGACCTCCAGTGGAATCATTTTTTCAAGAAGGATGTGTGGCTGAATACAGTTAAAAGCAGGGTTAAAATCAAAATAATGAGTCCCTTTACATATGTAGAGGGACACTTCTGATATTTTTAAATTGATGCATTATC